CTGTCCCATTCATCCATTAAAGCCAGATAACTAGGCACCATGCTAGGTGCTGGAGGTATCAGAGACAGAGCCACATGAGGGCAGGAGAAGACAGAAAGTTCATAGGTTAGTAGGTAAAAAAACAAATACAGGAATTATTGCTCCTAAGTGATGATGATGAGAATAGTTAATATTTACAGATCACTTACTGTTTTAAGCCCTTTGCAAACGTTAACTCATTTATTCTTCATAATCATCCTGTGATGTAAATACTATTATTACAGATGAGGAAACTCAGAGCAGTGAAGGAACTTACTGGAGAGCATTCAGATCTTAAGTGGTCGAGCCACGATTTTATTCTAAGAGGTCTGATTTCAGAGGCTGTGCTCTAAGGAAAAAAAAGAGAGAAGTCTACCTTAATATTGTGGTAAAAACAATGTTATTTGTTCACCAAACCATTTCATTTTCTTCCTAGGCACATGGGAAGACTGTATTTCCCAGCTCCCTAGCCTTTAAATGGGCCATGTGACTAATTCTGGCTAATGAAATGTGGGTGGATATAAAATCATCTCCTGGTTAAAGTGATGGCTTCTTGAGATGGAAGGAGCCTGGATCTCTGGGTTAAGACTTAGAGGAGAGTCTCTCCATCAGGTACATCTTGACTGAACTTTGGGAGCATGAGAAATAAACTCTTACAGTGTTAAATCACTGAGATTTTGGAGTTGGTTTGTTATGGCAGCTAGTGTAAATTGTATGAATAGAAACATTTTAATTTAAACTTTAAAAATTATTAAATATGTAAAAAATATTGAAAAGTACAGAATACATTAATAATCATATCTCTATCCTCAGATTTAACAGATATTAATATTGTCACATTTCCTTCAGGTTTTTCTTCAAGAAACCCATTAGATATAACTAATAGCTAATAATCAATAAGACATCACCTCATCCCTCACCCCTCCCTAGAGGTAACTACTATCCTGAAGGTGGTGTTTATCATCCTCATTTACATTTTTTACTTTTACTACAATATGTTAAATTATAGTGTTATTTTGTGTGCTTTTAAAATGGACAGAAATGGCATCAAAAAAGATTGCTTTTTTCATTCAATATTGTTTTTGAGATATATCCATGTTGGTACATGTAGGTCTAATTCATTCATTTGAACAGTTATGTAGAAATGTAGTAATTCACGTATCCATTCTCCTGCTGAGAGACAGTTAAGATTGTTCATATTTTTTTGCTTCTACAAACAATGCTGCAGTGAACTTCCTTGTACATGCTAATATCTGTGGACAGATTTTTGGGACCCCCTCCCTGGTCTAAGAGGCGAATCTAACAAGCAAACTGCATAGGCTTTAAGTCAGTACAACAAAATCCATGCTGTACTGTGAAGCAGCTGTGCAGGCATCTTCAGCCTGTGTCAAATGACCTTGCAACCCCACATCTCAGGACTGAAGATGCCAGCTGGACAGATCCACAACAGGAAGAGATAAAGGAGTACCTCGCTCTCACATTTCCCAGCTGCATTTCTTAGAGATTGAGGGACTACAGCATCTCTGAACTTGTTTGATGTATAACCAAGAAATTCTTATTTGTGTTACCTTCAATGTATAATCTAGATAAAAGCCCAGATGTACTCTATCCCTTTTTTAAAAAAATCTAGTTGTAAGTCTTTTCCTTTTCCTCTTCCTTGCACATGCACTGTTTGTGAAAGAGATATAAGCTGCACCTAAACTCACACCCCTCGGAGCAGTTCCATCAGAGTGCTCTGTTGAACTGTTTTCCCGGGGTTCGAATTCCTCACGCTGATTATTGAATAAACTCCTGCACTAATATCACCTAGACTGTCTATTTCAGTCGACATATCATATAGTCAGGAGAGACCTCCCTGAGGATTTACTCATTTAAGCTGATAGTGGAAGGATGAGAAGCCAGCCACATGAAGAGCCGGGAAACAATCGTTTCAGGTGTCTGGAACAGTGGACAAGTCCTAACACCTTAGGGAATGGCACGTACTAGACCCAGTGAGGTTACAGAGCCGTGAGTGAGGGAAAGAGTGGCAGGAGATGGAGGTAGAAAAGCAGGCAAGGGCCACTCTGTTCGTGGCTTTAGAGGCCACAGTAAGAAGTTTGGGTTTTCTTTTATACGCAAAGCCATTAAAGTGTTCTCATTTTTTCTAGGTTAGTCAGACCATACTCACAGTATTATGAGTTCCTTCCCTCAACTCCACTATGAATGAAGCATCTGTTGAATGAATACACTTACCACTTTTACTCTCCATTTTGGAGGAATTGATCTCAATATCATAGAAAAAGAAAGAAAAAATTACTTTTCAATTCCTTTCCCGCCTTTTTGTGTCTGAGCAGTAGCTGTATGTTTCAAAATGATCACAATTTCATTTTTTCATCAAAAGGGCTTAAAAGGAAATGTTCTTTTTTTCTTCCACATTTTGGGATCAATTTGTTCCTTTTATTAAAATCAGATTGACTTCATGCAAGATCTAAAGCGTTTAGGTCAATTTAAGAGCTGAGGAAATATGCTGCTAGTTCTTGAACTATCTGAGATGTGATAGACTCCGATGACCAAACAGAGGAACAACTGAAAAGTGTGCATGAAAGAATTAGGTACATATACTACAGTGCCAAACATTGTACTGTAGGCTTAAAAATTATAAATTACACTATTTCCAAAAGTGGTTTAAATGTGAGTCATTCCTTTAGTAACTCAGCCAAACATGCTAACATTTTCTCTCCTTCCCCATTCATTTCTTCTACTAGTACTTCCTATATTTGCCTAGTGATTATACTATCAGGTTGAGAGGTGGGCTATCATCTCTTTTAGGAGCTTTCATTTCCATTACTTCCCTGATTTCCAACAATTCAAGCACAAGTTTCACAGTCTTATTCCTATATTTTTGCCCTATTTTCCTCTAGAATACCTTTTCTAGTAACTAGTACTTTTCAGTTTTTTTTTTAAAGGAGTTCAGAAGCTCAGTTCATGGTCTTATCTGTTCGATCTCAGACATTTTCAGAACACTTTTGAATTTATTTGGAGGAAGATGGGCCCTGCACTAATATCTGTTGCCAATCTTCCTTTTTCTTTTTTCTCCCCAAAGCCCCAGTACATAGTCATGTATCATAGTTGTAGAGTTGTAGCTCTTCTATGTGGGATGCCACCTCAGCATGGCTTGACAAGCAGTGCGTAGGTCCATGCCCAGGATCCGAACCGGGGAACCCCAGGCCACCAAAGCGGAACTCGAGAACTTAATGGCTATGCCACTGGGCCAGCCCCTAGTACTTTTCAATTTTTAAAGATATCTATTCAACATAGAAATTTCAATAAAATCTAATCTGATAGATGTGGGTGAAGTTTTCTGTGTTCTACAACAACCTCCATCCACACATTAATTTTTTTCTTTTATTTGCAAGTTGCTTGTACTCTCTCTAGGTAGAACCTTACTGCCAAATAGAATGAATACCAAAAGGCATGGTGTATAATTGTTTAACATATGCAATCCGGCAGAGTTAAAAACCCAACATCACAAAGAATCAGAATCTGAGTGTTAGAAAAGACCTTCAGGACCATCTTAGACAACCACCTATCTTTTTTGTGTATGCGACCACCGGGGTTTTTTCACTGAAGTCAATAGTTTTCAAAAGAGGAAAAAAACCTTCAATAAAACAAATCAAAACAGCTGCAAAAGAAATGGTACGATTCTAGCAAACTTATAAAAATGTGTTTGTTCCCTGAGGTTGCTTGCATAGGGATGGTTGATAGTCTCTGCCCTCCGGCAACTGCACGTGCAAGGGTATTAAGTAATCCTAACGCCTTTTGATAAGTACCCTGATGATACTGTGTGTAAATATGCTTTAGGACTACAAAAGAGGGAGCAAGAGATTACACTCCAAAGGTTACACCTTCAGAAGACAGGTGAATGGCCTTCAAGAATGACTAAGAATCACACAAGTGGACAAGGATGAGAGTATTTTAACCTTCGAAAACAGAAAAAGCATCTCTTACACCTAAGAGTTACAGATAGGAATCTGCACAAAGATGTCCGAGAAGGGGCGCAGCAATGGACGCTTTTTTAACAGTGGATTTCTACTCGGCTGCACATTAGAAACACCGAGGAAGCTTTTAAAAACCCCGAAGCCCAGATCTCGCATCAGACCAATTAAAGCCGAATCTCTGGGGGTGGCATGAGTATTCGTAGGTATAAGTATTTTTAAAGCCCTCCTCCACCTCCGTGATTCCAACCTGCAGGCGAGGTTGAGAATCACCATTTTAAAGCAAGAAGCAAAATATTAAACGTGAATTTTGAGGGGGAAAGAGTGGCAGTAGGGCATAGATGAACCGAAAGCCCTTGGAGGGCAGGGCGGCTACTGCAAGAGCAGTGACAAGAACTGAGTGACAGCCAGCGGTAGAGGATTTAAGGGCCGTTTCTGCGGTCGAACTGCCGAGATTTGAGGGTCGGTAATAAAATCAGCATATATCCAACTCCATCAAAGTGAAGTTATTCTGTTAGCGGCCCTGCTCCTACCCCAATCATATTTTCTCGAATATTTTCCCACAGTTAAAAAAAAAAAAAATGACGGAAACGTTTTCTATCCCACGAAAGGCGCATGGGCAGACTGTGGGCGGTGCAAAGATCTGAGAAATCACAAGCGCGCAGCCGCTACAATTTCTTCCCGATTCCAGAACCACAACTCACAAACACCAGAGCGGGGGAGCACTCCCTAGCCGCGTTCGCGGCCCACAGCACAGCGCTGCTAGATACCTCAGGCCAAATTGGAGCCTTTTAAACCCCGGAGAGCGGCGAGGGCAAGGGCGCGGCAACTGATGACGCTCGCGGTGACGACGCCGGCTCCGCCCTCACACCCGCTTCCGGCGGCGGGCGGCCCCCGCTTCCGCTTTTGCCGCCCGCGCTCCGGCCCCGCCCCACTCCCACGCACCCCGCTAGCGTTCCGGCGCCCTACAGCGGGGAGAAAAGGCTCAGGTTGCGGTCGGAAGTCCCCCTACGGGTTCCCCTTCCGTTCCGCTTAACGACTTCCGCTTTGGGCCGTCAACATGGATGCCGCGGCTGCCTGGCAAAGCGGCCTCTGATCCGTTGCGGAGGCGCAGCTTCTCGGCGGCGCCCGCCCTGCTTCCCCGCCCTCCCTGCGTTCCCCCGCCCCTCGCTCCCGTCCCTGGAGCCGGCGGGCTCATCGCTACATGGGGGCGGGCCTCCGCGGCCGGCGCACGGCTTCCTGTTCATAGGCGGCCTGGCAGTAGGTGGCGGCGACTCTGCCCGCGCCCACTTAGGCGCGGTGACCGAGCGCCCGGGAGGCTCGAGGGCCTCATTTTGTGCCGCTGCGCCAAGCCCGGCCCTGCGCCGCCATGGCCCCAGTGCAGCTGGAGAACCACCAGCTGGTCCCGCCCGGAGGCGGTGGCGGGGGCAGCGGTGGCCCCGCGTCAGCCCCGGCGCCTCCTCCTCCCGGAGCCGCCGTGGCGGCGGCCGCTGCGGCTGCGGCTAGCCCTGGCTACAGGCTGAGTACCCTCATCGAATTTCTGCTGCACCGGGCCTACTCGGAGCTCATGGTGTTGACGGACCTGTAAGTGCCGCGAAACCCATGCCTGCTCCCCAGCCCCCCCTTCCCGCCCAACCGGCTGAGAGGTTCTCACCTCCCTTTCCCCAAGAGGCTGCTGTTTTCCCCTCTCTACGGGCTCTTAGTCTAGAATTTCTGAACTCAGGGGGCTCAGCGGAGGTGGAGGAGCAGCTTTGCATTTGGGGTTTTTCTGGACATGAAGCAACGGAGGCTTGTTAATTTGCATGTTATTATGCTTTCACTAAAAATTCCGTCTTTGGGATTTTTTGCTCGAGTTGCCAACAGAAGCCTATTGATTTCTTGGCTGGAAGCTTTTTAGCCCAAAGCCCAAGATTAGGGTTTAGGAATACATAATATTCGAGCTTTAAAAAAAAAAAAAATCCCAAAGACAGGAAATCTGTTTTACAGCGTCTTGACTGTACATTTTAAATGTAGGTTGTAATTGCTTCTGATAGAGTTTGAACTCAGGAGGTGTATTGTAATCCAAAATTTTGGGTTCCAGGGTGTTTTTTCTGGAACGTTTGAGAGTGTTTGAAGTTTTCACGCATTTAGTGTGAGTAAAAGATTTTTTGTAGCTGGCCTGCTGTTATTGTCTCTTGGAGTATGAAGGGAGTTTATAAATCACCAAGTTACCAATGAAATGCCTTGGGACATGAGTAGGATGTTAATCCCTTCAGAATAGGATCAGAATACACTGTAATGATTTTCAGTGTGTGAAAAGAACTATAAAATTGGGGAGTATAAATACTTTACTATTTTACCTTTTTTAATCCAGGTTCAGAAAAAGTAAGAATTATTAGTTTTTGTCTAGATTAATTTTTATCTTTTATCTATTGCTAGACTCCAGATCAGTGTTTTCTGTTGAAGTACATTAGTTTGTAGAAATATGGCTGTAAAGTGTCACAGTAATTTGTTACTAGAGACTGTTAAAATATTTGTTTGCAGGTGACTAAAAGAATTAGAATACATTCCACTTATTCCTGGGAAACATCATTCTCACTGAATTTTGATATACTGTACTTTATTGAATGGGACAGAAAGAAGCCTACCCTTGTCTAATGAGAAACTTAAATATCTGTGATGATCAGGGTTTATTGTAGTAACATACTTCTCTGCACCATCTATTGATGGATTTCGTAAAAATCCAAGAGTATCCATGAGAAAATTTGATGTATGTGAAGGTCACCTGTCCTAAAATGTTGAAAATTGCTATCAGTGGTTGTGTGATTTGTGTAATTTGTTTTTCCATAGTGGATTTGTAGACATTCTTTGAATTATATTGTGTTCTTCTTACTATTTTAGGACTTAGTTATGAAGAGAGAAATATCTCTTTTATTGTTATAGAATAAGTATATAGTTTTAGTCCCACACTCTTTATATAATGATGATTCTCATACTTACATCTCCAGCACAGACCTCTCCACTGAACTCCAGACTCTATATCCAGATGCCTACATTTGAATACTTAATGGGCATTTTAATATACCTCGTCCAGAACCAAACTCCTGATTCCACTCGATTTCCCCAGACCTTTCCTCTCACTAAATAGTATCTCCATTCTTCCTGTTGTTGCCTAAGCCAAAAATTTTCGAGTAATTCCTAGCTCCTCTTTCTTCCCATCCCACACCCAGTAGTACATCAGCAAGCCTTGTCATCTCTGACTTCAGAATCTGACCACTTTTCAACATTTCCATCAAGTGTTAATTCTTCACCCGTGTTACTGTAGTAGTCTGCTAAGTGGTATCTCTACCGTACCCTTGCCCCTCGACAGGTTTTCCTCCATTAAATAGCCAGGACGATCCTTTTATTTATTTATTTATTTTTATTTTTTTATGAGGAGGATCAGCCCTGAGCTAACATCCATTGCCAGTCCTCTTTTTTTGCTGATGAAGATTGGCCCTGGGCTAACATCCGTGCCCATCTTCCTCTACTTCGTATGGGACGCTGCCACAGCATGGCTTGACAAGCGGTGTGTCAGTGCGTGCCCGGGATCCGAACCTGCGAACCCTCGGGCCGCCAAAGGGCCACCAAAGTGGAGTGCGTGCACTTAACCGCTACGCCACCAGGCCTGCCCCAGGACGATCCTTTTAAAACTCTCCGGCTCACAACTTTCGGGTGGTCCCCCATCTCACTTAAGAGTAAAAAGTTTTGGGCCGGCCCCGTGGCTTAGCGGTTAAGTGCGCGCGCTCCGCTGCTGGCGGCCCAGGTTCGGATCCCGGGCGCGCACCGACGCACCGCTTCTCCGGCCATGCTGAGGCCGCGTCCCACGTACAGCAACTAGAAGAATGTGCAGCTATGACATACAACTATCTACCGGGGCTTTGGGGGGAAAATAAATAAATAAATCTTTAAAAAAAAAAAAAAGAGTAAAAAGTTTTTATTGTCACGAATATGTAGAGTGATGTAAAATTTATAGTCCAAATCAGGACACTTTTGAGCATGAAAGGTGCTGTTAATAATAATGTCAGAGCAACAGGCATAAACTGGGACTATCTTGAGCACACCAGGACATGTGATCACCTTACCTTTAAGGCCCTATGCTATCTGTGCCTTCTCTCCCTTACCTCTTTAACTTCATTCCTAACACTCTTCTCCTTGCTTATTCCCTTTCAGCCACGGTACCCTTCTTGATGTTTCTTAATAGTGCCAGGCACACTCCCACCTTAGAGCCTTTGCTCTTCCCCTAGAAATCTGTGTGGTTTGCTTTCTCATTTCCTTTAGGTCTTGGTTCACGTATAACTTATCAGAGAGACTTTCTCTGACCACCGGTGAAAAGTACTCTGCCCCTTCAATCTATCGTTCGTTACTCACTACTTTGTTTTTCTCTACAGCACTTATCCCCACCGGACATTATTCATTTCTTATCTGTCTCCTCCCCATTGGAAGCTCTATGAGGACAGGGATTTTGATCTCTTTGCTACTTTCCCCAGGGCCTAGAACAATGCCTGGTACATAGTCGGGGCTTAACTAAGTATTTATTGATTTAATACATCAACGAATGGATTTTTAGAATTGTCATTTTAGACCATGGAGAATTTAATGGGACAATTCACTGTTGCTCTTGGTACATAGGCATAAAATAACTTTTTTCTCTTTTGATTTGTGATAACTAAAATTAGTTTGGGAACTAACCTTGGCAGTTCTTAAATCATGTATTTTTCCTTGTTCCAGGTAGAAACTGTCAGGATTAACGTATTAATGTAAAACCAGTGTTCTAGGTACACTTTATAAGAGTCATATTTCTGCCACATTTGATGCTTGTCTGTGAACTATTGAAAGTAAAAAGGTCAGCCTAGGCAATTTTAGGTGGTTTGTTTTTGGCCCCAAATTTCTGGTTTTTTCCTTCTGCTTGTCCACTTCCTCTTTCCCCTCAACATACATGCTCTCATCTTAGAGTTTACACTCTGCCTTGACTTTTTAGGGACTTAAGTTCTACTCTTTTTTTTAACCTCTTTTAATTAAAATCAGAAAATGCTGGGATCTCAGTCATGTAAACTTGTCTTATCACGCTTTGGTATAAATAAGTTTCTGTGACTGACTTCTTCCAAAAATTTGCATTTTACAGCTTTTGCCCCAAATGGTGGATTTGTTATCCATAAAGGAATTTTAAATAGATTAGAAAAATTGGGGGAAAAGGGATGCAGGCAGCAAAACCTATCCTTTGTCCCTGAAATTCTACCACCTCTGACATGAGATGATCCTTTTCAGGTCTCTGGGGCAGGTGGGAAGTGCTGGAACAATGATTCCTGTTCTTTCTACCCCCAAAGGCTCTACTCTTCTGTTTCTCCCCCTCTCGTGCACACACAAGCATCCATGGTTCTCGTTCTCTCCCTCCCTTGAAGACAAGGGTTGTGGCTTTGAGAGGACTGTTCTCAGGAGCTTTTGCATGTAGAACTGTCCAGTTGCCGTCTTATAATAAGGCCTTAATTTCTGCTTCATCCTCTGATCTGCTGGTCCTTCCAGCTCCTACCTAGTTTCCTTTATCACTTGTATCATAGCTTCAGCTTCCATCCCACTGTCTACCCTAAGAATTATAGGTAACTACAAGCCAGAACTCATTTTAATAGTTTCCCCTCCTTGTACCTTGACTCTTTGGAGGTGGTTTTAATTTTTTTGCACCTGTGGCATGTGAGTGGGAGGAGAGGATCTAAGCGGCTCAGTGTGTATTCTTCAAGAAGCGATTAGATGTAGGGGAGACTTTAGAGTTATTCAGGCTGTTAAATCTTGGACCATGAGATAGGGGTTTACAGAATGTGGTGATTCAGGAGGCAGATTGGGACTTCTCTAAGCATCAGTGGATGCGAGAGTGTTAGATGGTATAATTTATCAGGGAAAATGGTGACATTGGTTGCTGGCTATCGGTAGTGGAGAACTAAGAAAAAAGAAATCAATACCTTACTGGAGCTGTTTACAAGTAATATAAATCATTTACAACTAACCACCATGCAACGTCATAATTACTGTAAACCCCTTGGCTGACACTGGCCCTTTTGTGTGGTTAGCTTACGGTTTTCCCACCATAACAAAACATGGAGGGATTATTGCTTGGAAGCAAGGTTCCATTGGGTACGGGAGGCTGGCAACTAAGTAGTACTCTGCATCCGTGGCCATTTTGGTCTTAAAAGAATATTTTCTCTGACACTCGATGATATAGCGTGCTAATGTAAGACTTGGGCTTTTTAAATGTTTGAGGTTCATGTACTACTTTTTGATTTTGAATTTTGAGTGGAGAGAGATGTTCCTTTGTTGGTTTTTCCCTTATAACTGTATT